TAGCCTAACCTTTTTTCAAATACCCTCCCACAAGTCACATCACTTAGGCGGTGAGGAAACACGAATTTCCGTTTTCTGTTCGATGCTCAGAATGCTATAGTGACAGCACTGTTACGCTAACTCGTATGCTTTTCACCTTTTTCTATAAAAAAATAATTTAAGAATAATTTTTATATTTTTTTTATAATTTTATCTATTATTTAAATAATTTAATTTTTATTTAAAGTTTATAATATTAAATATATTTTTTTTAACCTATACTTAAAAATATCTTTTTGTAATCAATTTATATAAAAAATATAAATAAATTTAATTAAATAATTAATAAATCAAATATTTTTTTTATTTTTTCAAAATTTTAATCTATATTATAAAGGTATATATTAAAAGATTCTTTAATAATGTATAAAAATTATAAAAAAAATTATCTTTTATATATATATAAAAAAGAATTGGCGTGTAATTGGCTGACGGGTTCAGACAGGTGGGCCCACCGCAGAAAACACCTCCAAGCCAAATAGGTAGTGCGGGCCCACAGGTGAATGGCAGGGGTAGAAGGTGGGGGCCCACGGCATGTTCACATTGAAACACGGGCACACACATAGGATACACACACGGTTTTGTGTAAGATGATGTTGGGGTGTCCTAACAAACATGTGTGTGTGATTGTGTCCGTTATGGGCTTTGTGGAATTTTGGGACTTTCTTCTGACACCGGAGTCATAGGAGTGGGGGCCCATTTCAGATTTTCTGGTCTTATATTTTTTTGGGGTGTCGGAGTTATTTTATTATTATTATTATTATTATTATTATTAGTGGGGCCCAATTGATTGAGGTTAATATTGCGTCACCCGACTCACCGTGCTGTGCGCCATCTTTTTTAAGTTGGGTTGGGGGGGGGCCCTGACTATACTGACCCACTCCAACTTTTATTTCTTCAGGTCCTGTTGGCAGAATCGCCCGATTTCGAGTATTTTATTACTTATTTAGGCATAAAATAATGAAAATTCAAAATATTTTAAGGTAAAAGTGTTTTTCAATATAAATTATATTTTTTTGTGTGATTTACATGTTAAAATTATCAAAATATCATTAATATACGCACATAGAGGGTATTTTTATTAAGGTTATTTTGATAATTTTAATACATGAACGGTATATTATTAGAAAACATTTTTTGGATATTTTAAATAGAAAATATTATATTTTTTATACATCTAATATAATATTTTTTTATTCTCAAAAAATCCTTTGTTTGACTCACATGTAATAGAACAATACAAGCGTGGTGCTACTTGTTTTGTTCAAAACAAGAAAAATGGATTTTTTTAAGGAATTCCCATCTTTCAAGTAGTCAATCTTCATGTAGAATGGTTGGAAGAACATCAATAATATGTTGAGAATGCACCTCAAATCAAACAATATTGCAAGAAAGAGGAATGCTTTATTGCAAAATGAGTTACAAATTTACTTAAAACATAACTGAAAACTTCCATATCAGAATGAAATTTGTTAAATAAATAAAGACAAAAAGAAAAAGAAAACTAATCGAAAATAACAGTGCATTGTAGAACTGGAGCGCAAATTAAAGCTCAAGTGAGCTACAAATCTCAACATCAACTACAGATCATGATGACTGAAAGATCCAGGTAAACAATTGCAGGCAAACTTAACTTCCATAAACGTAAATTGAGTGCTTTGAGAATAACATAAAACTTCATAATATAATGTAACAAAATTATGTTAACTATAATGAAAATTATTTACATAACTAAAACTTGATTGTGTTGACAAAATTTCCACTTCTTATTCTTTGAAATGCACTTAAAAACCGTAAAAAAGAACTAATTATCAAAACGACTTGATTCAGGATACATGTTTGTAATTGATCCAATGGTTTACTTGCCAGCTGGGGCTTTTAGGGTGAGAGTTCACCTAGAACTGGAAAAAAAGCACCCTCATTTCACCAATTTCCATTGAAAAGAAAGACGTGTCAAGAAGGGAGAAGGGATAATGGGTATCTATCGTACAATATACTGTAATAGACAGGAAGAAGTCAGATAAGGGGATTATACAGTCTAGCATGATGTAACACTTCATATTGTTTCCCTTTCAAGTTCACATTACTTTATCTTCATACCTTCTGGATGTTGAAGTTTTCCACATGATCAATTAGTCCCCTTAATATAAAACCCGTTCCACCAAATTTTGTTTACTTTTTTTACTTCCTCGCTTCCTTTAATGATGTCTAAAATCTTGCTAAGGACATGTTTATCTCATTGATTAATTAAGATTTGATCATTTGTCACCTGCGTATAGAGATAACTTCTTGTTTGGTTCTAACATAAATGGTGGGTCCTTCATTGACTAATAGGAAAGACCTTAACCCGCAAGAACTAAGAAATATTTTCTTTTGAAAATCTGATAATGAATTAAATGATAGAAGATAATATTTTTTTT